TTTTTATTTCTTTAATGTAAATATTATATAAAAATAAAAACATACTTTTTAAATTTTTTGATAACTCGAAATTTTTAGTAAGTCGAATTATTTTTTTCCCCTTGAACTTCGAGTTACTGAGAGTCGACTGTATTATGTTTTAGATGCTGTTAAACAACAATCCAAGTATAAAAATAAAGTTTCTGAAAGTGAAATGGAAGAAGTGATTATAAATGTCCTTGCTCAAGCACCATTTAACATAAAAAATATAACCTACCATTTGTAAACATTGCAATATTATAATATTATTATATTTAATATTTGATATTTTTATTATGTTATCTAATATCATATTAAGTTTATTATATATCAACAACAGATGTAGTGTAAAAATGTTAAATATTACATTTTGTAATAATTATAATAAATATAACAATAACTTTTCAAATCTTATATATTTTAATATTTGTTATTTATTGTTAGTCAAATTTATAATTTTTAAATCTAAAATTAAAATGTATTTAGGGTAGGATGGTGGTAGCCTGCACATGGCCCTCCCTGCATACGCTTGTAGATTTCCCGAAGACCCTTGTGTACGAAGACAGACTACGAGCGTAACTAATACCACAATATATATATATATATATGCTTAGTGTTCTGTTTTATAAGTAATTAATACATTTGCTTTTGCGTCAACATTATACGCTTTTTTACAGATATTATTGCAATTATTATTGGTGACCTGGTCCTATACTACGCGAGTCAGAGCCGCCGACCACTTTATTCGTAGGAGCAGTTTTGGCGTAAACACCAATACTGAAGGCGCTGCTACTCACCTTCAGGTCCATTTTTGTCGCCTCTTACGACAGGCATGGACTACCGTGGGTGTATTCTGGCCCCCTACCCACAGGGGATCTATAATGTATAAACCATGTTTAATTTACACCGGTTTTTTCAGTGGTGTACATACGGGGGGGGGGAGCGGAATTAGAAATGTTAATTTTTGAAGATCTTGAAACTCAAAGTTCCTAAATTATTCTTTTTTAACTTTATTTAGTTAATAATTTGTAAAATTTAATATTTTATAATACTGAAGTCAAAAAGTTTTATTATTTGTGTATTTTTTTAATATTTATTTGTTTAAATAATCTAATGTTATTACTTATTTTGTTATATTTTAAAATAACTAACAAGTGAAATTTATTATTTTTATTTTATTGATAATATGTATATTAATTTTATACTGGAAGTTACTATTTTTTTTTAGGTGTATATTAAATTGTTAAAATATTTTGTGATCTAACAAAACTCTAGACTGACGTAATTTGTTGCTTTTTTTTTAATTAAATATATTTAAATATTTGTTTTATTATTTATTCTATTTAATCTATTTCCTGATATTATATATTTTAGTTTTACCATTTTTGTACTTTATACTTATGTTTCGTACTTTTGTTTAGCATTTATAAAATTTAATAAATATCTTTAATGGCTTTTTACATTTTAAATAGCTATAGAAAATATTTCAATTTTTCATATAAGGAGAAATAATATTTACATAGAAATAAAGAATGCATTTTTTTTAGTTAGTTTAGAGTTCAGTACAGCCATTTAGGTATTTTATTATTTAAATTCTTCTTCTTCTTAACAGCTTAGCGGTCCATGTGGGTCCATCGCTGCCACCATTATCTCATTCCATCAGATCCTATCATTCGCATCTTCTACTTTTACGTTTTCATTAATCATTTTAAGGTCTTTTCCTACTACATCCTTCCATCTTGTTCGGGGTCTTCCAACGGGTCTTTTCTTCACAATTCTTCCTTCTGTTACTAGTTTTATAACTTTTCCTTCTGCCTTCCAGACATGTCCAGCCCATTCTATCCTCTTACTTCTGCTAAACGATACTATATTTGGTCTTCCATATAAACTTTTTAAGTCATTATTATGTCTTCTTTCGTATACTCTCGTTTTTGTATTATATACTGGGCCGAATATTTTTCTGAGTACTTTTCTTTCTGTTGTGTATAACTTAGCGTAATCGCCTTTTTTAATAGTCTATTTCTCACATCCATATATCAACACTGGTCTCAGGTAACTTGTGTATAGAGTTACTTTAGATTCTCTTGATAATAGTTTTGACTTGAATAGTTTTAATAGACTATAATCGGTTCGCGCTAGCTACCCGTTCTTTTATTTCTTCATGTACGTTATGTACGTCATGTACGTACCACAAAAAGGTAATATTAACAATAATTTACTCAAGTAAGTAACCTAGAAATACTCGTAAATTACTTTAATTGTACAACACTAGTTGGATGTGGACCGTTTTAAGTGGTGAATATAGGCAATATGTTATATTCATTGGGAATTGCTGTGTGAGTGTGTATATAATTATTAATCATTAGTGTGCGTGAGTTGCTCGAACGCGTAATTATTATGTTTTATCAGTAAACAGTTCAACAATAATTTTATTATCGTCACAGCGCGCATTGTATTGTATCCTTGTCCAGTATTTACAACTGCTGTAACCACTTCTGTATTTATGCACACCGACGATGAATTATTACATTCAGTTGTTATGACTTCTAATTTGTTGCACATCATACACTTAAAAATAAAATCTGAATAAAAACCATTTTTTTTTTCATTTATTAAATAAGATATTTAAATGAGCAGCCAAAAAGTGGGTGGTTGATTTTCTGAATAGAATCAAATAAATGATTTATATTAACTAATTGTGGACGTTGTATGTTTGCATTAGTTTTCGTGTGTTTACTGTTAATCTAATTTAGTAATTAATTTAAATAAATATACTGAAATTTGAAGTAATTTATCTACTGTAAGTTAATCATACTGGATAAATTTGTCATACAAGTCCGAGTTCAAACCTCTCCAAAAAAAAAAAAAAAAAAAAAATTGTTTTATTTTTAATGACGTGTAATATATTCGTAGTTTCATTATTACGCTTTGAACTTAAAATATACAACTATACAAATACTATGATAATTAAATTATATTGATAGAGGTTTGAAAAGTTTTGTTAACTATGCTGTTTTTATATTTCAATAGCTATTAATTTACTGTAATGGAAAAGTTAAACTGTAAATTGGTAAAAAGTTGTATAATATAATATCTATTTATAGCAGTTATTTATCTTATTTATCTGTGCAATGAAAAAAAAAAGATAACGATTATTTTTGTAAACCCCCCCCCCTTCCCCCCCGAGCAAGATTGGTTAAGACGCCACTGGCTTTTTTAATATTATTTATTCTTGTTAGTTAAATAATGTATTTTTTGTAACATTTTACTACCAAATAAAAATCGATTTCAAATTATAGTATCTACCTATTATAGTAAACCTTTGAGAAGAATATGTGTGATGTGTGCATAACAATGGTGACTATTACTATAGTTATTAACAGTAATTTGTTGGTGGTGAATTAAACTATACTGTAGTTATAATTAGAAAACAGATAAAATAAAAATGTTGAACTCCCCTCCTAAAAATTTTTTCCTGTTGTTCATTCGAGTGAATAAATAAAAATACAAGTATTAAATTGAATTAAATATTGATTTAATAAATATATTTAAAACCTACTGCACAAGGCTCGGAACTTTAGGCATTTGCATATATGTCTAGAAAGTGCATATTGAAATTCTGATTCGATTCAAATTCGATTTATATATTTCAGATATAGACATTTTTGTTGCGTAATTTTGTATATTTTGTTATTTTTTGTACCAATTTACATATTTTGTGTTAAAGAAAATGTATATGCATATTTCATGGATTTAACAAAAAAGGTATAGTTTAATAATAAAATATTAGATATATGACAACCAAAATTCTAAGCTTTAATCGTTTGACAAAATAAATTAATTCGTCAACAACTATTATTTGTATTGCTCCGTCTCCCAATGCACTTAAAAATAATATTATAATCTCTATAGTACCGAGAACTCGTAATAGTGACCACCGCCGGCCCATATTTATTTTCGTACAAATTTACCACTGTATTAATATTTTGTAACAGAACATAAACAAATTGTATAACCATTGATTATATAATAGACAGATAGCTCACGGTATAGGGCAGGGGTCGGGAACCTTTTTTGACGGAAGAGCCAAAAGTTACAATATACAAAATTTTCCAGATTTTAAAAAGCCACTAAAAATTTTCATAATTGTTTTAATATAATTTTATTTTTAAATTTTAATAGACATAATAATAATAAAATTAATTATAATAATATAATAAATTTATAATAAAAAAAAAACAGTTTTTAATAATAGGGAAGTACATCAATGGGAGCATTGGCTTTGCATGTTTTTTGAAAGTTCTTTTAAATTTGGCTCATAACTTGTTTTAAGTTTCAAGCACGACTCTAGATTTTTATTTGTTAGTTGGCTTCTTACTTTATTTTTTATTGTATTCACGCAAGAGAACGCTTGTTCACACGAATATGTTGATCCAAAAATTGCCAGCACTCCAAATGCCAACTTTTTCACTTCACTGTAGCATTCTGGAAGACTATTCCATGCTTCGAATATAAATTCCTCTACTCTCGGCATTTCTTTTAGAGCTGTCCACTTGTTCTGCGCGACGTGCATGCATTTCTGAACCTCCAATTCTTCCAATTTACTCTTGAGTTCTATGAACTTGTCACTCCACAGGTCTTTGTTTTTTAAATCGAGTAATTGCATTTAAAACGATCCAGCATCAATTTCAAATGGTTCAATGTTGATTTCATGTGTTTGTGTTGAGAGGATTTACTATAAATGCGAGAGAACTTTTGTTTGTTTTGAATTGCTCGAATCTTTTGGCAAATTCATCCTTCATTTTTTTTATAGTTATGCAGAAGTAATTAATGTCAATATTTGCATTCGTTTCATCACAATATTGCTTTAGATTTCTAAAATAAAGTAATTTACCGCTCTCCAAGTCTTTACTAAAAATAAGTAATTTTTTTTCGAAACAAACCACTTCTTCCAGCGAGGCATATGCTGGGACTCCTTTTCCTTATAGTTTTATATTTAGCTCATTTAGTTTGATTGTGATATCTACCGTGAAGTAGAATTTTTGTAACCATTTGTCTTCTTCCAATTCAGGATGGTTAATGCCTTTTTCATTGAGGAATATTTTTATGTCTCTCAAGCACGAAGCAAAACGTTTTAATACGTTACCTCTGGAAAGCCATCGTACTTTATTGTGCAAAAGTAGGTCAGAATACGGGCTATCTATTTCTTCAAGGAAATCTTTAAACTAGCGATGGTAGAGTGCTTTTGTCAAGATGCTGTTAATAATTTTAATTACTAAGTTCATGACCTCAACAATTTCGGCCGAAAATGTTTGGGCACAAAGCGCCTGTTGATGAATTATGCAATGAAACGTTAGGATTTCGTGGTTAATTTTTATCTGAAGAATTGATATTGCACCTTTATGTATTCCTGTCATACTTCTGGCTCCATCAGTGGCTATGGAAACGATTTTATTTAAATTTATTCCATTGTCTTCCAGGCATTTTTTGCACAGCATTTGCTATATCTTCCCCACGAGTTTGTCCAGAGAGCGGTAGCAACCCTAACAGTTCTTCTTTTGGACCTTGGGACGATATATATCTGACGAAAAGGGAAACTTGTGCCGTGTCTTTTATGTCACAAGACTCATCTATAGCAAGTGATAAGGCAGAAGCTACTTGAATGTCTCTCACTTGCATATGTGTTACATTTGAAGACAATTTTGCAGTTCTATCTTGTACTGTTTTAGCTGACAAAGGCAAATCTTTGATTTTTTTCATGATTTCGTCTTTGTTTTTGAAATCACGAAACAGTTCATCAGATGCACGTATGAAACAATCTTTGATGTACTCACCATCCGTGAATGGTTTCCCTCTTTTTGCAATTTCCAGAGCTACTGCAAAGCTAGCCTGATTTACGTTATTTGAAGATTGCGTCCAGGTACTTAGCATGGAACTTGACTGCTGTTTTGTTTTTTTAAGCTCTTCAACAGCTATTTTTCGTGTATCACCGATTGGATATTTACTAGCGATCTGGGTATGTTTTGTATTAAAGTGTCTCTCCAAATTTGACTTTTTATTGTGCGCCAGCTTTTCCAGACAAATAAGGCAAGTCGGAAGGCCATCTGTGTTGCATATGAACGCAAAGGACTCCGTCTAATCCTGATGAAATTCTCTATTTTCTTCAGTTCTTTTCCTTTTTTTTATTAGATGCCATGATGACGCTGAAATAATGATTTTTAAATTTAACTTTATTAAATTTTATTGTATTTTATTATATTACATGTGTACACACCTTTCAAAAAATAATTTGCTTTTAAATAGTCTTCTTCTCCATAATGAAACAATGAGCGAAAAAATAAAATATAGTGACAATACAGCCAAAAACCAGAAAAATAAATTAAATTAAATTAACACGCACATGCAACGTAACGTCATCTGCGCTGTACGTTTGAGACTGACTGACGGATGTCAATTAGTCGAACAAAATAAGTCGTAAAATGATATCGTATTATTTTGGAATTTGTTCACGTTGTTAACTTCTCGTGACGGCGTATGACTAATTAGTTGTAGATAGCGTCGCGATTTTATTATACTCAATAATAAACATAGATAAGAAACAACAATAGACAGTACTCCATGCGGGCCCTATCAAATTATTTTTGTTATGTATTATTTCATATTTCCAAAAGCAACAAAAATAATATACTTTTTTTATATCATAAAATATTGTTTTTGAACATAAAATATTAATTTTTGTGTATGTAGCTGGAGAGCCGCAACTTTAGACCGAAAGAGCCACATGTGGCTCGCGAGCCGCAGGTTGCCGACCCCTGGTATAGGGGTTTTCGGATACTATAATCGTGTTTAAACAGACTGCCGATAGGTAACGTTGCACGAATGAATACATAATTTTTCTAATCTTAATTTGGGTGTCATTGGACCCCGCTGCGATTACAATAACGGACTTGTCGAAGAGATATCCGACAACCATTTTATCGGCGTTTCAATCGAAATAGATTTCCGAATAAAACATTAAATAATTAAGAACCTGTTACGGGCATACATAGATGTAGGTCCTTACGACTTTTACTTCATAGGTGGGACTACATAAATCATAAATAGTAGAGATCGGGAAATGATTATAAATAATATAATATTCGCAACAATAGAAAGGACCTATTAGTTTAAAACAGAGGGTAACGCAAACACATATTATATATACCGTATGGCTACATTCCAAGGTGTAATATTAGGAAGAACTATTATAAATAGGCATCAGTATGATATATTACGGAGATGTAGGTCTTTACGAGTTATATTGTAGAGAAGACAAATAGTATGTAATAAATATAAAAAACAACTATTATAGACAGACATCAGTAGGATATATGCAAAATGCGGAATTCACGAGGTTAGATTACATAGGTAATCTTGGGTTGGGCGCACAAAATACAAGTAGCATCAATCTAAAATGACAAGATGAATCACATATGACAAGTGATTTAGCATTCACTAGATTCTGGTCAACCATGAGAAGCGGGGTATTAAGGGAGTCCCGAATAGACCAATATTCAGATGTGTTTAAGACGAGTTGTAGCGAGCACCTCCACGCTAGTTTATTTGTTAATTAATTAAATAATGTGTACTTAGAAGTATTTCAATAAACAGTTTAACTTAGTTTGAGTATTTTATTTGGAATATTTCTAAAGACATCATCACCTTTACGGTTTAACTGCCACATGCAACAAACCGTACATACATGAATACGCGATTACGCGAATACGTATTTTATTATTATTTCACATTTGTAAGCCATCTTCATATAATACAAATAATTGGTGTACACTAGGGTGGTCCTTATTTTTAAATATTTAAATTTTTGTGACCGATCCCCCTAATTAGGTGCCAATGTGTATAAAAATGACGCATACAAAATTTGAGCATAATCGGATAAGTTTAACCCGTGCCCCAAAGCTCTCAAAAGTTGTACGTTGTTAATATTTTTAAAAATTGAGTAATTCATAAAATTAACGAAAAATTAAATAATAAATACATATTTTGTAAGGAAAAACAAATTTTAATTTTATAAACAATTTATAATAATTATTACATTTTTAATAAATGGCTACCAATATTTTATTTTTCTTGCATATATTATAATTTTTCCATAAGAGTGCTTTTGTTTGAATTTGAATACTGTTGCCTGTATTCCGTGACAACTTGAAGAATATACTGCTTCTGTTCTTCATTTTTTGGACCAATTTTGTTAAAATCTTCAATCAATTTAACAGCTCGTTCAGCAGTATCATTTACAATTTTTAATTTGCTGATAATTTCTTTACCCCGTTTGTATTCTAAATTGTTCTCCCAAGTTGATGGCGATGTTTCAATAAAGTTATAATTTATATTGAACCTTTTAAAAAAATTTAAAGTTTTATCTGAAATAAATGATTCAATCGTATTATTTATAAAACTTGGTATTTCATTTAATTTTACATATAATCGTTTTTCTACATTAATTGAGTCTCCATCTACATTATTATCTTTTTTTAAAGCTTGAACCATTTTAATTTTTGTATCGTCAGAAATTTCATCATCGAAAAATGCAAATCCAACTGACTCTGGAGACAAATACCATAGATGATTGATAAATTTTTTTAGGGTAACTTCAGATAAATTTTCATCTATTGTTTTATAATCATAAAGATCACGCAAAAATTGTAAGTCTTGGCGTGGTGCAACAAGCATTTGGTGCATTAAACCACGCTTTAACATAGCAAAGAACAATAAAAATACAAATATCACGAACTGAATTGTATTCTCTTTTGTTTAATTTATATTCTTGACGGAGTATAAATATTTTTAAACAATAAATTGCCTTCGACATCCAGCGAGCATGATGAATTGCTCCTGGAACTCGAAAAAAGATATGACGAGCAGGAGTACCATTTAAAAAGATAACAGTTAGTTCAAGAAATTCTCGGTAATCTTCCCTACATTGAATTTTAGTTAATTCAGACATGCAAAATTTTAAAATACATTCAGTCGAATTATTTAAATGTTGACTAACTTTAGTGTCTTGAAGTCCAGGTTTGAAGTTGTTGAGATTAAATTTTGGCCACGCTAGTTGAAACCGTTGAAATAAAGGAACATTTGGTCCAAATGTTGAACCGAATTTATGATCAAAAACACTTCTCAAAATTATCTCATAAATGTGATGACGACAGGGTAAATATAATAAACTTCTTTCCAACCATTGTTCAAGTAATATACATGTACCGCCGATTCGGCCTAAAGTATAAACATTTAAATGCTTGAATTATTACAAATAAATATAAAAATTATATAAAAATAAATATTTTATTATAAAATTGTATGTTTTTATACTAAATAACCCGTGTTTGTCGCAGTCGTATCAAAACATATTGCTTTTACGTGATCCATTAATCCCCACTCAGATAAGTGTTGGTAAATAGCTTCTGCTTGAGCTTTTGAAGTGCCTTGTAATAATTTAGGTACACCTAATAGTTGTTCACTGTCATTATTAGTTATAACAATTGGCAATCTATCAACAGTTTGTTTTCCAGTTAAATCAAGGAGCAATTTACCATCCCAGTGTAAGACTATTGCATTTAATTCAGATGTTGAAAACTTTTTACGAATATTGTTTGCTAAAACCATACGCGATTGCTCGCGATATCGTTTTATGGAAGATCTGTTCACAACTAAATCACTAACTTCAACTTTAAGTGCTTCTGCTACTGCAATTATTATGTGAACTGCATCTCTGTCACTAATTTTACAACGGTCAAGGGCTGAAGATAATTTTGCTGTCATGATTTCTTTTCTACCTCGTGTTTTATTAGTGACGGTGAGTTGAGTTTGTGAAGTATCTATTATATTAGATTTATATTCTGTAGAAGACACTGGTAAACAGTCAATTTCACTAGTACTTGCAACTTCGTCGGAAAAATCGTCATCACTGAAATCAATAGATTCTACAAAATAAAGTAAAAAAAAAAAAAATGATTTAATAATTTATTAAAAATAAAGGTATGATTAAAGAAAATAACGAACTTACGTTTATTAAAAGTAGCAGCACATTGTTCATAATGACGTTTTTTTTCTAGCATTTAGTTTCTCTTGTCTTTCTTCTTTATCTTTAAC